AAAAAAGACATTTGAGGTAGGAAAGTATTATTTTGACTTTCTTTATTTTTGTGATAGCACTGCAAGCTTTGTACATGAAACAAACAAATCATTTGTATTCCGTGCCTATGTTAATATCTTTTATACAAGTTCTGAGTGCTAACATTTTTGCTCTTAGCTACAAGGTAAACTTGTTCTTGCTACCGTGTAGTGATATTTCTCCAACTGTCTACCAGGCCACTTCTCAAGCTACCCACCATGGCACTAAAGAAAGCCCCCATAAAATAGGCCTTTATTATTCAGCCCATTATTATTCAGTTATTAAAACTGGTACCAATAGGGCAAAGCAGAAAGTCAGAAACCAAGAAACCAAAACAGTCATACACAGAAGTCAATCAGAAACAGCAAACCAATACAGCAATAGCAAAAGACAAAGCTTGAGCAAGAGCTCAAGCTAGATGTGACCAGTAGGCTTTATTCACGTTGACCGGAACACAGGGCCAGGGTCAGAGGTCAGAAGGGGCGTGGCTGGAAACAGGAAGGCGTCCTGAAGCAGCAACTGGCGAATGGAGCTTGAGGCAGAAGACTGAGGTGTCCTGTAGTCATATCCAAAACACTTACGGCCCGTAACAAACTGAAGACACAGGTAGGTGATATCAAATTTTGAATGGGATTCCATAAAAAAACTCATAAAAATGTAAAAAAAAACGTTACAACCATTCCCAGTCTCCCCTATTAAATGGTAAATATGCAAGTTGTCATGTGAAAAAGATGACAATTTAGTCAGAAATTTTCCTTAGCAATAATTTATTAAATGTGTAGAATATGTCTGCGATGAGTTAGTGCCCCATCCTGGGTCGTTCCCTGCCTTGCACCCGTAGCCTCCAGGACCTCCCACAACCCTGAAGAGGACAAGTGAGTATAGAAAATGGATGGATGGATGGATGTAGGATATGCTATTTTACAAGATATTCTATGTAAACGTTTGGTTATTTTCACATTATGCTTCTTTGGAGAGGTGTTTCAGGCATGTTGGATGGGAAGGAGGCCCCGGGGCAGACCCAGGTCACCCTTTTTAAGAAGGGTAGAGTCTTTGGATTCTGTACGAGGAAACATCTCTTTGAATTGCCCAGCAATGTTGATATATTCAGTATGAAATTCTTGCACTTCCTGGCAGAGGGCGCTAGTGCACCAGATTTCTGGGCAAGACATTTTCCTTAGCGGAACTACAAAGGGCGCTTTGTGGCTCAGTTTGGCATCAGTGCCTCACGTCTCCTACGGTTGCGGGTGCACATGTCTTTTTTTTTTTAGCAGATATCGTTAGTTATGACATACTACAAGTTGAAATCAGTATGATCTTTTTTCAACGACAGAATGACACTATACAAATGACACAGAAACAGGATGCCAAATTTCATGATTTAGGAACTCGTGTTCCAATTGATGCAAAACGCCAGCAGGGCACTCGCAAAAAACACTATTCCACTGAATGAAATCTTGCTGTTGCAATTATTTAGTTTGCATTTTTTAAACCTACACGCACATTTCCATCCATCCATTTTCTGTAACCGCTTTGTCCTATTCGGGGTCGCAGCGGTCCGGAGCGCAAGGCAGGGAACATCCCAGGACAGTGCACCGCCCCATCACAGGGCACGTTCACACAGCCGCGCCTACCAGCAATTTGGTAACTTAAATTAATCTCAGCATGTGGACAGGGAGACATGGCGGAGACTCGGACAGTGAGGCAACAGTTCCAACCACTGCACCACCGTGGCGCCCCCCTGCACATTTCTATATAGAAAATATTCATAATTTGAAATATCTTCATCTTTATTTTTGCATGATAAGCATACGCACAGAAACCCATCCGTTGAAAAGCGGCTATATTAATCCGATAAGCAAACCAGCTTTACCGAAACCCCCATCGATCACAACTAAAATGATTTAATGCCGTTTACATGACTACATGCACCCAGATAAATATGACCGGGACAGAAAGCGATTAAGCGGCATAATCTTACCACCGTCATAAAGGAGTATCAAAATAGGCCAATCTGTTCGCATTTATGAAATTCTCCACCATCGACTCGAAGAAAAAAGCTATTGGTTGAAAACGGTCACATGGTCAGCAGTAGTAGGACTTTTTCCACACCCTGCATGAATTAGGCTGCATTTCCAGACGGTGCCGTGGTCTTGTGCAGCATGACATTTCACAAAGCATAAGGCTGACATCTGATGATGATTTTATAATTGCAGAAATACATTATTTATTACATTTGACGCTATTTTAGAAGCATCCCAGTGTTTAAGACGACGTTAGGCTACAAAATGCAGGCCTTGTACTGTTTGCAGGGCACAGTAAGTGCTTCAGGTTGAATTGGGGGAACAAGTAAACGTCATGGTCGATTAATGAGCGAACATTACAACTGTTTCCCAGTAGAATTCCTGATAAATATTTGATATGCGTTAATTTTGGTATACGAAAGCAACCCAATAACATGAAATCTTTGACATTAGGTGTCCCTGTTTTCGTCAGTTAGAATGCATCTATAACATAAAAAATTGGATGGTAAGAGCAATGATTTGATGGTCATCCCTCTAGTGGCCACTCACTCGAGATTTATCATCACTAACTTGTGGAGAACAGTTCTTCTCCAAAACCCCTGGCATATATCTCATTTATTTTACATGCCGTGCACATTATTTACAGTACAACTTTAATTAAACAACATGTGCTCCCTACAGCTGGATGACTCATTTCTGTTAAAAACCCGCAGGGCTTCCACTAATTCGTCTTTCTCTGGGTTTCTGTCTCCTGGAAGCGGTAATGAGACCAGAGCAGTTCCCTCACATAAGAGGCGCACGATCATAAATCGTCACGGTCCGATCCGGCCGGTGGTAGTCGGCAGTAAAGCGTGCGGCACGAACAGACTGATGGATCCTTTCACACATCTGACCATGTAGAATTCATTTATGTAAAATTTAATCCTGACACAGAAGCGCCAAATTTTAACACGAAAGAAAGCAACACAGTAAAACCGTGAGAATTAACGTTAAGGGCAGAGAAGAATGGACGCAAAGGATCAAGGAGCGCAAATGGAGCCGCTGCTGCCGACGGTAATAATATTCCATTGTGATATTACATTTCCTGTATTAATCGGCTCATTTACAATATTTCACTGGAAGCTGGACGTTTATATCAATTGTTAATTGTCTAATGTATTCGTGCCTGCTTTCTCCCAAACGTGGGCTATGTGCACCACTAACGCCGAATACGTGTTTGCAGCGAATCTAATAAAGCATTTATTTCCAGGTAAAGGTGTAGCAGCCGGTCAACATTAATTAAAAAGCAAGCCAGTCTTCCATCGATTTATCCGACATAGATGCGTGTATTTCTGTGTTTTCGCATTAAAGTAGGTCAGGTACGTTGGATCTGCGTGCTGGGAGATGAAGCGGATTTATAAGCGGCAGGAAACGGCCGGGCTCCTCTCATACTTTCTGTTCCTGGCTACGCTCTTTACCTTTCTCAGTCACACGTTTATTTTATTTTAGTATACATAAGAAATCTTAGCTAACTATACAAACATGAGGCCAGGAGCTCTAATATTTGAATTTAGGAAGACGGTTATTGAGAAAATGGCTTTCTACACATTCCGGGTGTGTGAACCACAGGTTTGCGGGAATCAGTCACATATAAACGAACAACGTATATTAAATGTTAGGCTTTGAATTAATGGAATATTAACTTCTATAGTTATGTGCGTATTTGTAGATTTTTGTATCTTTTCCATATTTTCTCATATCTTTGTCTTTTTTTTTTTTTACTTTGGAAATCTTGAAGGACAAGATCAAAGACTGGTATTGAGCATCAGTTTATAGTGTTGGTAATAAAAGCTGATGCGAGTCGTGTGTCGGTCATTGGACGCAGCGCAGTCTTTGTGTGATGGTGGGTCTTTCTGGACGGCGTGAGAGTGTTGGGCGGCTTGTTCCAGCCAACAGCTAAGTGGCAGGCTCTGCCTCTGACCAATCATATTTTAGCTTTGTAATTAAGCGGAATTCTCCGAGGTGGGCGGAGCCACGCAGAGGTCCAGAGGAGAGTCGGCGCTTTTGTATATGCGGAGGGATGCTCTTGGGTGCCGTGACAGATTTACTCATGGTCCTTGAGTGTGATGTCTGACATTGGGAAGATGCCAAACATGCTCAGGACCTCCTTAAATCCTAACCAGCTCACACAGTGCACTGGGATCTCTGAGGAGTGGATTGAGTCCAGCTTTTCCTGAAGACAGTAGGAAAAATGCATGACCCAGTTGTCATACCTGCAGGGTCCACTGAGGAAAGTCATGTCTCAAAGCTGCAAGCAACAGATGCATCTACAGCCAGCGGTGGCCATGGGAGATTCATGGGAGAGTAGCTGTACCTGTATGTGAAACCTGCATTGATTGCTGGTGTGACTTGTAGGCAGAAGTACTTGGTCCTGAGATGCCTGCATAACCAGATGAATCATTTTTTATTATTCATCAGTGCATCTTATTACTGATAGCTGTGCTATTTATCCTGTACATGCACGCATCCATATATATATGTACATATATTAAATATCTGAATATTATCGTTTATAGTTTTATTTATCATGATTTTTCCTAGTTGCAGGATGGTCTGTGGCTCTGTGGGTTTGAACCCTGTGTCTATTATGGAAGGTCATTGGTTGTGTTCAGGCGGCCATGTCCCTCCCCCCACCCGTAAATAGCCTGGCCACCCCATTGTACATGGTTTGGCTGTGTCCCTGTTCAAGGGTGCTGGGCACTGGCTGACCCAGTGCTGTGACTCCCACGCAAGGTCCAGTAGAAGGGGGCGGGGGACCAACAGACATGTTCTTAACAGAATATGGATCAAAGGACTCAGAGAATTTGTGGCAGATTCATAATTCTTAATAGACAGAACATGATGGTGGACTTCCTACATTTTAATACATTTCATTTTATCGTCATTTTGATGGTACATCTACGTTTTTGTCTTAACTCACTACGTAGTAGGGCTGACTGGTCTTTTTAAACAAGATGGGATGTGTGAAAAAATGCATCCCGATGTCCCTGTACTTGTACATATGGCAGTTTCATTTCAGTTCAGTCAGACGTCTCATTGGGTCTCTGTGTTCAGGTGACCTGGAATACCTTATGATAGACAAAAACATCCACCTTATTGGTGGTTACAAGGCTACCGTAACTGGGCCAGATCACAGCTTTATTTGAACCACCCCATGTAAAACTTACCATTGGTCAGCAGGACAGAAATACACAAAAATAGAAAAAAAAATAGACAAAGCTCCTTTAAGGATTAATGGAGAATTTAGCAGAACTACAGAAAACAGAGACACGCTGATTACTTCCCGTGGAGCGCGGCCCACAGCCCTTGGACCTCCTTGGTCCACCTATGCTGTCAGAAAAAAAAAATCACCCTTTCTGGGTACAATTACTTGTTACTTGGGCTGTACTTTCAATAGTCTGCCAATTGTGCCTTAGCTGTGAGTAAATGTAAATTTAAGGTACAGAAATGAACTTTGAGGTACATTTTTGTACCATTGGGGGACATTAATGTTGTTTGTACGTTGGGGTACAAAACTGTTTTTTTCTGACAATGTAGCGGCTCCTTATTGCACGTTGACTGGTTGGCTTGATGTCCGCTTGTTCCCTTTCTATTGTATAATCTCACATTTCATTTAGAGGCTGGGAATGAGTTGAAAGTCTGGGCCTTCACGTGCGTTATATCCCCCCCCCCAACATGTGAGACAGACCCTCTTAGAATGAATCATACATTCTGTGTGGAATTTAGTGAACATAATGTTCTCGCCACTCACAGCTTGTTGAAGCCTTTGTCTTGCTGTGAATTTTATCTCGAGCCGAACTGCTACTTCTCAGCCAGAGCATTCAAGCAAAGCTGTTGGCTAAAGGGGTTTGTTTAAAAATAGACGAGTTTTGATAAGTTCCTAAATAGAGCCCAACAGAATGCTCTTACTATCTTTGTGCTTTCAAGCTCCTGTGTATCTTTTAAGTGCCCTTGCGTAGAAAGTCTCAAAGAAATATATACTATGCTTACCCAGATTGTTCTGCAATGGTGACATTGAGCTTATTGGGGAACAGAACTGAGAAACTCTCATAAATAGTAGGAATGTACTTGACAGTACTGTGTCCTTTGCAGGTCGAAACCCCCATCGGAGCCAGGAGGGAGGTGAGCTCGACCATACAGTGCACGCATGTCCCCTGCATGTGGCAGGTCCGTTTGGTGCACGCAGGCCTGCCTGCCAACACGGGTCTCCCTCCTCGGCCTGCCCGCCATGCGCCATCTCCGCTAGCTCTGCCTGGCATGTATGCTTGTATGCTTCTGGCAACAGTAGCTGGTGAGGCTGGGAGGGAATGTTCTGGATCTCGGTATATATGGGACGCTGTGTAGTTGCTTCCATTCTCGTTACATCCCTGACACGCCTCTTACGCTTATAAAGACACCTCTGTTTTCCATGGAGCTGATTCTGCTGAACTCACAGTAACCCACCCCGACGTCTGCCACTCCGCATCTGTGACAGGGCTGTGGTTCTGTTGTTGGCGCTCTTGTGTCCCATGCATCAACTTTCGCACGAGACTCTGTGCCGTTTCGAAGCGTTATTTATGTTTTCCATAACCCGTGGCCTGTACTACGAAGCGGGGTTACTGGCTTATCGGGGTAACTTGTTGGATTTAAGGTAGTCTGGGCAAAATGTAAGTGAGTGAATATGAAGTCCATTTAAACTGTGGTACCTTAAATCTGACAAGTTACCCCGATAAGCCAGTAACCCCGCTTCGTAGTACAGGCCACTGGCATGTCTACTGAGCCGCCCTACCTGCAGTGCTATCATCCTCTGTAACTGTGCAGTGATGTACATTTGCAGAGAGGAGACAGCCATGATTAAAGCTGCCCCTGAAGTGGACCCCGTGCAGGTTACTAAGCCATAGAAGTGAGGGAGAAATCTAAGCCAATGAGGAAACGGGGGCCATGCAGTCCCCCCGGGTTCTGTTTGGTGTCTGACAGAGCCAGGTGGAGGACTTATCAGGTGGGATGTGAGCCCCAAATCAATCTGGGTCTCACTGTCTCACTATCTGCCGCTATGTGAGACTCTGTCCCTCTATCTGTCTGACTGTCTCTCTGTCGGTCTCTCTGTCTGTCTGTTTCTCTGTCTCTGTCTGTTTTTCTCTCTGTCTCTCTGTCTGTCTGTCCCTCTCGCTGCTTATCCTGGTCAAGGTAGCGGCTAGACTGTACATTCTAACCATAAACAACACAGGTACCTTCGGATGAGAAGCCAGTCATCTACAAAAGACACACATGTCCACTATGGGCAATTCAGAGGTGCCAAATTCGAAACCCCTAACCCTGGATGTGTGAGGCTGCAGTCCTGCCCCCTTCAGAGCTGCATGTAATGAAGCCATATTTAGAGTAGCTGTTGTAAATAGAAACGCAATTAGAGTAATGATGTTCTATAGCATTATGCTAATACGCTGCAGCCCATTAATCTGGCATTCTGCAAACTTCAGTTTTTGGTGTTTATTTTTGTGCTGAAAACAAGCTTCCTTCTTCTGGTGATAAGGAAGGTAAATATGTTTTGTTTATTGGCTGTTTGCGCTGTTCCCAGATATACTGATCCCCGCTGAGCCATTTTCACTCAGGCCAATTCATTTGTTTCACCTGGAGCAAAGAGCTAACCACCTAAATGTTGGAGGACTATCACACTGTTGTGTGGCTCCTAATTGCTTTATTCATTTATGTGTCATTTGCTTGGAGAAACAAATTGATTCAAAACACAAATGCACATCGGACGGGGCGGCATATGTGTGGCAGTAGGGAAGGCATCGCACTTTGTGCGGTTTGTCAGGTAGAACGTTGCAGAAGCTGACACAAACAAACAAACGTGACTTCTGGGGGGTGTTCCACGAAGCGGGACTTCTTGTTTGCTAGATAACTTGTTGGTAGTCTGCGCCAAATGTAAGTGAATGAAGATAATGTCCAAATAGCCCAGTCTACCTTAAATCCAACAAGCTATCTGGCTAAGCAAGAAATCCTGCTCCGTGATACAGACCCCTGGTGTAATACTTTTTGTTTGATGATTTTTGTTTTTAGGTTAATCTCAGTGCTGTGGTGTGGGATTTGTGCTTTTCTTCCATGGACGCCTTTCTGTCTGTACGTGATCAGACCAACATTTTGTGTGATTTTCACCTTTATTCAGCAGTTTACTATGTTCACTATGTTTTGCCAGTTATGTTTCCTCACTTCCAAACCCTTGCTGTAACATTGATATGATTTCTGGTTAAAATGCACCACTATTTGTGTAGGTTGCTATAGACTTCATCAATCTGCATTTTAACTCTTACAAGAAAAGTCCGGGTTAATCCCACTGCTCAAGGGTTCAACAGCTGGGTTCTCTTGGTATTATTTTTTTTGAGCAAACTTCAGGCTTTGAGTCCGTCTCTTTAACCACAATGACGTTCTGTGTTTTTTTTTTTCCGGTTAAATATGCCCTGTCTTATTAATCTCCCACTGAAGGCTGATGTGATTGGGGGGTGGGGGGTGGGTGTAGTATTTATTTTTTTCCCAAAATGTTAGGAGTCACCGTGGCGTAGCAGGGGCCGGCTTAGATGTACAGTCAGCGGCTTTGGTGATGTCACGGTTCCAGGAGGACACAGGACACGCATGGACCAATGGACGTGTTGCAGCCAGAATGTGGATCATTCATTTGTGACAAATTCATAATCATGGAGAATGTGTAGGTCACAGGCGGTCTGTGTCGTTCACAACAAACTGGGAAACCTGGGGAATTCTGCACAGAGAAAGGAGCACTTTATTCTGGGCCATGGACCTAAAGAGCCGATTTAAATGTCAGGTATGTTCCCATATTTAGGTCAGTCTGGCTACAGGCTATTTTTGTTCTTCTTGTTGCTTAACTTGAAGGTGGTTTTGCACATAAATAGGCTCGCTTGCATTCTTTAAATATCATGCCGAAAACAATGTAGTTATTTGGGAAATTTGTTAAAATCCGTCTGCGTTTTCATTTTTGCCAAGAAAGGTGTCAGATTTACCCTACAGCTTAATTTGAATACAGGAAACTTGTAATACAGTATGCATACCTTATTACCTTCATCAGGAAGAAGCACTGCTTCGTCAGGAGATGTATGTGTGATGGACAGCTACAATGTTGAGATACAGCCAAACTGACTTGCTGGTGGAGATGTCCTTCCTGGGTACCTTATTACCTTATTCAGGTGGCTGTGGCGTCCGGCAGGTATCAGTAGGTCTCCTTGACAACACGGAATAGGGTTTGACCCACCATTCTATACCTGTAGTGTCTCTGTTGGTTGAGTGTGTGTATTTGTCTTTCGGGAAGTGTCTGTGTCTGTTAGCCCTTGACTGAATTGCAAAAAATATCTGCCTCAGGTGAGGTTTTTAAGAAAATGAAAAACGTAAGGATCCAGAGAGGACAGCGTCTCATGGCACTGTTGGCAGGAAGCCATTTTCAGCTGGTGCTGATGCTGCTACTGTGGTATCCACTGCCATTGGTAGGGATCTGCCTGAGGGTCATAATGGCTGCTTCGATCACTTATATTATATCAGCTGCTACTGTTAATCCCTGCAAATACCCTCCGCCTGCTTCGTCCCTGACTGCCCCTCCCCCCCAAAAGGACTGTATGTACCACAGCGGGTGGGGGGTGGCCGGGTGTTGGATAGTGCGCATTTAAGCAGCTCCGTGCCAGGGAAAAACCCATCGGAGTGCCACGTGTGAGCGCCAGAAACTGGGTCACGTGAGCCTGGCTTCAGCGTGCAGCTCTCCCAGCCCTGTGGCAGGAGGCACTGCTTCATCGGGAAGAGGCACTGCTTCATCGGGAAGAGGCACTGCTTCATCGGGAAGAGCCACTGCTTCATCGGGAAGAGCGACTGCTTCATCAGGAAGAAACACTGCTTCATCCGGAAGAGGCTCCTCGTTTGTGCTACCGCAGAAAAGGACTTTGCAGAACATGAAACGTGGCGTATTTTATTTTAAATGCGGTTACGCTGAGGATGTTTGGGCATGCTGGTCTGTACCATGTACTTGAGCGTTCTGGGTATTGCGGCCCCTTTGTGTTTTCCTGCTACCCGCAATAGGGGGGCGCACTGCGAAAGGAGCTGGCCGAGGGACAGTGGCTGAAAAGACAATAGGAACTGTAACGCAGTGCTTCCATTTGTCAGCATCCTTCATTTTAGACGTACAAAATACTGGTTAGCTGGCTCCTGTTTATTCTGTAGATATTCCTCATCCATGAGCCATGCTGGTAGTGCTCTACCCTGATCGAGACCCAGTCTTGACCCAGAGGAACACATTGTTCCACTGAAGCCCAGGCCCTTATCACATCATAATGCCTTTCCTAGCTGGAGCACAGAGTGTCCTGTTTTATTCATGCATTGCCGGTTCTGTGCACAAGACTTAAGAAGGCTTGGCACCTGCCAGCCTCTTTAGTTGATCCCTTGGTATCAAGTTTGGGCTTTCAGAATCAGTAGGGTCCCAAACTACCTAAGTAGGGTCCCTCAGGACAAAGGAATGGTTCTTCAGTAACAAAGTAAGGTCTCTCAGCAGTGATGTAGGCAATTTCAATACCATGGCAGAGAACCTCAGTCTTAATGTAAGGTTCTTAAGTACCATGGTGGGCCCCCGCAGGACCAAGCCTAGCGATATGAGTCCTCTTCCTGTGGAGATGCAGTTCATTGCTCTGCACTGGGTTTTCCGCTGGTTCTCATTGCTTTACACCAGCAGCCTGTCGGGCCTCATTAGCCGTCCTGCATTTTGGTCTCCTGCTCACTGTGCAGGGACCTCTTTCTGTGACAGTCCTGGTGGTTTCCCCCGTCTCTGCAATACATGCAGGGAATCACTCCTTAACGTCCCATTGGTGTAGGCGACGCTGTTCCTTTGCCTATGCAGCCACACAGGTGTCCCTGGGGGGGGGGCTTTTCCCCGATGTCAGTGCCGTGTCCATTGCGTGGCTGAAATGTGTTTTTTTTGTATCAGCGTCATAGTACTGCGTGTGCTGTGTGGCGTGTCATCTGCCTTTACATGTGTTTAGCATGCTGCCCTGCTTCCCTCAGCTGGGCTTTGTGTTTCCTTTGTTCCGTGCCCAGTGGGGGTCTGTTTAGGTGACATTGCAAATGACAGTGTTATTATTGTTGTCTTTTCATTGTTTCCAGAGGGGAAAGACAACATGCCCCTAAAGGGGACAGTCATGAGGCAAAATTTTGGATTTTGGTGAAGCATGGTGGCTATGAAGTGCGTGCACGTACACACATGTTCACACACACACACACACACACAAATTGGTCTTCCTATGTAAATGTGGACTGTCCATTCACTTCTATGGGAAAAACCCTAATCCCAATCACGACACCCTTAACCTCTACCCATCCCCAACCTTAACCACAAGTAACCAACCCAAATACAAGACTTCTGGCATTTTTACTTTTTTGATTGCATTCACAGATTTTTATGAAACTGAGGTTATCCAAATGGGGACCTCAAAAGATGTCCCCAAAAGTAGGGAAATTTCAGGTTTTACTACACTTTGGGGACAATTTGGTCCTCAAATGTGATCTATGCAAACCCACACACACACACACACACACACTATATTATTATCCAAAGTGGAACCCAAGGGCAGTGATGTCATTGTGGGCAGCGTCCAACCTGCTTTGCTGTAGACTGGGCATTGATACGCTGCCCCCCCCCCACAGGTTGGTCATCACAGGAGCCTCAAACTCACCCCCATGTCTGTCTTTACTCCCAGCTGTCTCTCTCTCTGTCTTGCCCTCAGCTGAGGTGAGTGAATGCCATGTGACTCCCCAGCCAAATCGCTGGTACTCTGGTGCTGCCAAATGGTGAGGAGCATTGAGCGTGTGCAGGTGTGGATCTGGGAGTAGACTGGCATCCTACGGAGCCCCCATCTGTTTAAACACCCCTGTAGGGTCTAGGCCATGGGTAGTGGAAATATCCACACACTGGCTGGGTGAAAGGGCCGCTGTAATCAAAGGGGAGTGGAATCTGCACCCGTTTGTGTCTGAGCAAATCTGTAGTTTGCGGGGTTTTTTAAGTTCACAGATACTCTTGTGTTTGAGGTAGATATGCTGCTAATTATCCTGCCAATGGCATTAAAGGCTGAAAAGCACTTACTAAATTCTTATAAAATAAGCATTTGCCCCTTTAGGTTTAAATCCAAAGTCTGACTTTCGGAATAACAGAGAACTGCCCTCTTTAATTTTACAGTTTGTAAAAGGGCTCCTTGATTGGCTTAGAAGTTCACCACCCCTAGGCTGGATTGGTCTAAAACCAGGGGGTGTGGCTTTGCAGACTCTGCACCTCACCTGCTGTACAGGATTAATTGGATGATTTCAGTTCCCTGCCCTGCAGGACTGTACTGGTTGCTCAATCCTTATGGAACAATAATGTTCTACGTTAGCTTAAAGTCGCCTTTGTTAAATGAACAAACTTGCATAATTGTAAATTGTAGGCCAGGTTCATCACTGGGTTGAATTGCTCTGGAGACTTTGGCAGGATTCTGGTTGACACAAACACACTGCTTATGCGAAGAGCGGCAGGTGAAGTGCACCAGGTGGCTGACAGTCCTGCGACTCTACAGCTTCCATTTCGACTTGTAAATACCGGCACCTACTCCTCTACATTTATGTCCCTCTGTCCCACAGTGCTTTCTGGGGACTCACACAGTGCAGCATGTGTGTCACCAGCAGCAGCGCTCTGAGCTGATCCCCCTCCAAGTGGGGGGGGGCAGTGCAGTGGCACAGTGGTTAGCACCTCTGACACCAGGGATCAAGTCTCTGCCATTGCTTCTCCATGAGTCTGTGCCTTCTCCCTGTGTTGATGTGGTGTTTCCCCTAGGTACTCCAGTCCAGTTATCCCCCTGTGTCCAAAAACATGCTGAGGTTAATTGGAGTTGCCAAATTGCCCATAGGTGAGACTGGTGTGTGAGTGTGCCCTGTGAAGGGGTGGCACTCCATCCTGGGTTGTTCCCTGCCTTGTGCCCTGTGAAGGGGTGGCACTCCATCCTGAGTTGTTCCCTGCCTTGTGCCCTGTGAAGGGGTGGCACTCCATCCTGGGTTGTTCCCTGCCTTGTGCCCTGTGAAGGGGTGGCACTCCATCCTGGGTTGTTCCCCGCCTTGTGCCAATAGGCTCTGAGCCCCCTGCAGACCTGAATATGGGAAGTGATTACAGAGGATTGATAGATGGATGCGGACTCAGACTGGATGAAATTTGGTGGTGGGGGGGGGGGGCACATATTGATTGCATGCATGACTGAGTACTAACACCGTTTCGGACAGAGGAGCAGTGGGCTGCCCCAATAACGACGCTCCGTGGGCTTTTCCAGAGGGATCACATCCTCGTACTCATTTCTCTGGGACCTCCTGTAAACCTCACAGTCAGGAGAGCTCCGTCTTCAGCACGTGCAGCGCCGCCATGACCCAGAGTGTTCGCCGTGACCTGTGTGGTGTTATGTTACAGAAGCTGGCCAAGTAGCTGAGACCTGCTTCGTGGGCTCGCTGGCCTTTGGCAGAACCCTGTAAAGCTGCCATTTCTTACCTGCTAGCTGAAATGAAAATTTAGGCTTATAGTTAGTTGAACTTTCATTTCATGAATAGACAGTTAGGATCCCTGGTGATGCCTTGATCTTCAGCTGTACCTCCAGGGTTCTCATATCAATTCATTTTGACTAACTGTTACTACTGGATTATATCTATTAAATGCTTTGTGGTCAAATGTAAGTTATATGCTTGTATATGTATGGTGTGAGAGTCAGTGCCTCACAACGCAGTGGTTAATGCTGACCTCAGTGCTTACTGATGTGTTCGGGGGAGAGGGAGGGCTCTTCAAAAGGTCTGGATGTCGCCTATTTTATGGTGTTTACTCGTGTGACATGTTAATAAGCTAGCAGAAATGTTCTTCAGTGCAGGACATACACCGAGCCAGATGTGCACTGGGAAATAGGCCCTCAAGCCGATGTCGGTTGCCATGGAAACTGCCTCATGAAGTCAGAAAGTACTGTGTTTATTCCTGGATATTCTCTCTGCCCACATAAGGAGGGATTCAAAAGTGCACAGGTTGAAGTCAATAGCTGTCCCTTCTGGAGAGGGTAGAGGGGTTTAGGTCAAATGAGTAAGGAGACTCCGAGATCAGCTGTAACACTCACACACCTCACGATGTCGTCTGGCAGAATTGATAAGAGCTTAATCACACCAACCTCGAACTGTGGAAAGAGTTCAGTTCCTGGATATTTCCCAGGAGTCAGATGTTCTGTCAACAGAGATGTCTTCGTCTCCGGCCGTGCTCCCATAGCATGACATGCCGGCTGTTCTGAATAAATAAAGAACTGTCTTGCTTGCTTGAACGCAATTCATACACATTGTGCTAAATGCTACCCCCCCCCCACCCCCCGCTTGTGATCTGCTGGGCGAAATTTGCTGTCACTGGTGTTTCGGTTCATGCCGACGCGGCGACATATTTAATGTTGTTGTTTATTTGCGTTTTTTGCGACCTGACAGAGGAATGACGAGGAAGCAGTGGTGGACAGGGGCGGTTCCCGGTCCATGCTGAAAACGAACTTTGAGAAGGAAGAACTAGAAGGTAAGTGTATGTCCCTGCCCCCCCTCCCCCCCCCCGTCCCACAGTAAGGTGACAATATGGCTGGTCTGGGGGAAAATGATGTGCAGATTGAGTTCTCCCAAAGGTTCGCTTTGATGGTGGTATCAATGTTTCCCGTATAATACAGAGGGACATGCGGATGGTGATAGAGGGAGTGTTTAAATGAAGAGAGAGACCCAGAGACCGAGGCCCCCACTGCCTTCTGAGATTGGCCTCTTGTCCCCCCAGCCTTAGACCTTCTGTAGCCAAATGAATAGAAATGTTAAGGCAGCCCAAACTATTTTATTAATAAATAGAAAAATATCCAAATTTTCTTACTAACTATTTAAAGTCATTAGTATGTCGATATGTTTTTTAGACAGGCATACATCTTTTTAGACCTATTTAGGATTATCAAGCTCAGTAAAAATATGAGAGGAGCAGATGGATTTTTTACAAACGTATGTAAAAAGCTTAAGATCAAAACACACAGCTGAGCGTCATTGTTCCTGCTTCTCGCTGCTGTGAGCTGCCGTTACTCCGCGTTCGGCGTTATGTTGAGAGCTGCCAAAATCAGCTGAGTTAGTTTTTTTTGAGTGTTTCTCTGGTTCTTGTTTGTCCAGCATTTGGAGGAGAACCAGTTTGTAAACTCTTTCTTTCGGGTTTTTATTTTAATACAAGCAGAAGCATATTTTAGCCAGATGTCACACTTGCAGTTACCAAAACAGCCGTAAACACTTTTTTTTTTTTTTTTTTTTTTAAACCTCATTCTACCTAGATCACACTCATCCTATATGAACTTCGAGGGGGGGGTCTAGTCCAGTGCCCCCCCCACACACACAGTAATAACCACCATGCCGCACATAGGACATACCTTAACTCAGGGACTGGATTTCTGATGTCATCGGTGTGTGTGTCCTTCCCTTGACAGTTAGGATCCACGGCAATGTTGCATAAAAATATACACCCCCCCCCACCTTCCCCTGAAATAGTGTCACAGCGGGAGCAAACACAAGGGGCGTCTCACTGAAGTCACTTTCATAACTCCTTGCATGTTGTTAATAAAACCCACTAGTTGTGGTTTGGGACTCTCTACTGGTTTGTGTGTTGGAGAAATTCTGCAGCTTCTAGGTTCCAT